AAAGTAAACAGGTCTACATTCATCACATCATGTCCATTCTGTCTATGCATTAGGCGTGCCCTAAATACCAGAGGTCTAGGGGCTAATAAGGACAAATACTCAATAGGGTCATGTGATTACTTCTGTCAATGTAATATAATTGTTCTTGGTATAAACTGAGCTCTCCTTAATTTATTGTAGTCATTACTTCATTCTTCTCAATTTCCACGAGAGTGACTTGACTAATATTGATAATTATATAAAATGCACACAGACTCTTAATATTTCTTTTTTTTAATGACAGTTTTTAGTTAAGTTCAATGTAAACTGAAAAATAAACAGCTTCCATTAGAGAACCACAAGCAGAATTCAATCCAATTAACATGCTAGTTTAAGACTTAATTGGTCTTTATGATTTATTTATTCTTCTAAAAAGCAATGAAATTTATTTTTCATGAACAGCCTGTGAAACCAATTCTACTAGATTTTAGTCACACCTCACATGTGGATTATTTACACATATCCACATACATGTGAACAGAGTGAATGTCCTTCCTACATTGTTCACCTGGCAAATCCTATCTGACCTTTCAAAGTTCACCTTCAGTGTCATCACCTCCCATATGCAGCTGACCTTTCTCTTTTCAATGTCCCATTGTACCTTTCATAGAACCTGTAATACTTGATTTTTCTGATTTCAGAGACATGGTCATATTTAACTTGGCACCAACACCTAGAAAAGCACCTGATATGTGAAAAGTGATCAATAAATGAAAGCTTGCTGAATGTGGGGTATTGGCTCAATAAATGCTGCCTTTTGTTGTTTTCTGATGTGTCCCCATAAAGACTGGAGCTTGGAGCTGTATTTTTTAAAGGGAGCTCTTGGGGCCTTTTCTAAAATTTTATTTATTTATTCTCTTTTTTTTTTAATTTGAAAGGCAGAAAGAGAGAGAGAGATCTTCCATCTACTGATCAAAAGCCCACGAACAGATTGAGCTAGACCAAGCTGAAGTTAGAAGCCCAGAACTCAATCTGAGTCCCCCACATGGGTTGTAGAGACTCAAATTCTGATGCCTCCTCAGGGTGTGCATTAGCAGGAAGCTGAAAGCCAGGATGAGGGTGTACTAAAGTAGTGTGTTGACCACTGCTCCAAACACCCATTCCTGGAAGTATATTTCTAGTGCTAAGAATAGAATTACCTGGTTTCACAAACCTTCAAGGCAGTTATCCAGGCCTGGGGGTGGGGGGGGCAGTTGCTATCATAGAACAAGAGGGAGCTACTGCTGGTTTAAGAAGCAGCGGGTTAAAGCCCTGGCCTGAAGCACTGGCATCCATATGGGCGCTGGTTCTAGTCCCGGCTGCTCCACTTCCGATCCAAATCTCTGCTGTGGCCTGGGAAAGCAATAGAAGATGGCCCAAGTCCTTGGGCCCCCCCGCACCCATGTGGGAGACCCGGAAGAAGCACCTGGCTCCTGGCTTCGGATTGGCACACCTCCGGCTGTTGAGGCCTTCTTGGGGGTGAACCAGCGGATGGAAGACCTCTCTTTGTAACTCTGTCTTTCAAATAAATAAAATAAATATTTTTTTAAAAAAAGAAGCATACCTAAGATAGAGGGCTTTTTCCTACAAAGGAGCTAATTGGTGCAGAAGAGATAAGAGTTAATGGTCTCTCCAAGGACAGTTAATTAGCATATTAATGGATCTCTGTTTATACTTTCCTTGTAGTCATTTGTTATTTCAATACCCAGTGCCACTGGTCATTGCTACAAAATGTTAAATTCAGTTTTAAAATCAGGGACTAATGACTCTAATGAAGGCTATTTGTTTAGTTCAAGGAAACAAGTAATTAGAGCTAAAAGCAAAGGTGTAAACAGAATCCTAATTTATTACTTGGTACATTGTTGTTCCCTGCTGTGGCCCCTAGCTGAGGTTCAGCCTTCAGCTTTTCACAAGTGTAAATCATGATATACACACTTCTCACACACATACATTGCACACACAAACACACCTGGATGGAATGCTTTCTGGAAATAAGAAGGTCTGATGGCACTAAAGGGAGGTGCTGTTACGAAAAAGATTAACCCTTTCCATAATTTTCCATCTGTGTGTGAGTATTTGCAAAGGATTAACTACTCTTTTGCATGAAACAGACACACTAATAAGGCTTATTCAAAAGGGTACTTTACCTGAACTTTGCAGGAAACCTTCACAGGATCCCCAAGCTCAGGACGAAAGCCTACAATCTATCAAAAGAAAATCAGTGCTGTTTTTTAAAACCTAATTGATGGCTTAAAAAAGTGCTTTTCTAAATCCCTTTTGAGTCATATTTCCTCTATTTTGCCCTCTCAGAATATTGCAAGCAGCAGAAAATGCATAGCGTCTTCAGAGCTGTGCCACTTGCTTTACTCCTGGTTGTATTTGTATTCCATACACAGTGGAAACTGAAGCAGGAAAAATCTGAAAATTTAAAGAATTTTCTGACTTCAAAAGGAGTGTGCCTGGTAATGCTCTGTCACAACTAAGGCATGGCATAAAGGAAGAAAAAGGCATTTTTATGCCATAAAACTGTCTCCCACTGCACTTCCCATGTCAATTCCCTCTTCTAAAACAGGTCAGGACCCCATCCTTGACAGCAGCCACTGAGAGCAGGTTTGGGGTTGGGGAGAAGAATAGCAGCAGAAGTGTTCAGGGACTAAAAAGGAATCAACAGTTTGCTTGTATTTATGATGTCAGTAAAAATAGTCAAATTCGTGAATACAGAGTAGCCAAATCTCTTCCTACCCAGCTTCTCCACTTACCACCACCAGATATCAAGGGTTAATTTACCCGGTTCATCTTCAGGAGGATGCAAGGCTGTCCAGTAGAGTATCCAAAAGTTGGGTCCTCCAGACCAGAGCAGTTCTTTAGGAAGGAGCGCTTAAATTGGCAGGCCTTCTTGTCCTCATCCTCATCACCATCTTGGATGAAGTACTGCCCCGGGGGACAATCCACATTCATTTCTTCTTGTAGACTGTCATTATAACCTAAAGCATGGTCATAGCAAATGGTCATGTTAGATAGGTGCTACAGGGGAAGGCCTTATTTCCAGAAGTCCTCTCTCCCTGGTTTCCTCTCTGCAGCTTGCTTGTACTCCTCTGAAAGCCCCTCTGTCTACCCTAAGCCCTGGATCCTGCATCAATGCCTAAGGGCCTTCACTGGCAACATCCCTTTGTCAACTTGCCCACTTGATTGCCTGACCTTTTGTTTTTCATTCTCCTAGAACTTCCAGATATCCATTTTGGGGTCATATGTTGGTCCCTTTGTAACTTTTCTCTATGAGGGATCTTCAAAATGTTTGTGGAAATGTATATTATGAAAAAACACATGGATTTTAATGTGCCAAACTAAACATATTTTTTTTCCAAAGAAACATTTTCTTTAAGGAATACACACTTCATGCATTTCATTAGTACAACTTTAGGAATGTAATGATTTCCTAATGTACCTGCCCTTCCACCCACATTCCCACCCCTCTTCCTCATCCCTCTCCTATTCTCAGTCTTATTTTTTTTTTACTAAGATCTATTTTCAATTAACTTTATATACAGAAGATTAACTCTATACTAAATAAAGAGTTCATCAATTCATATGGAAAAAAATGTTCCTCAACAGTTGAGACAAGGGCTGTTCAAAGTCATTGAATTTTGAAGTTAATTTCACTTTTTTAAAAGAAACTTAACTTTAAAGAAGCACCCAAGAATGGTACATCTTTCGTGAGCACTTAGACATAACTATAACTTATAAGACAAAAGAATGTCCTCCACTTAATACATTAAAAGAAAGTAAGTCTTTGAGAACAAGTTTTATCATTAATTAAAGAAGCACCTAAGAAAACAAGCAATGGAGTTGGACACTTAGGCATAACTAAAGCTTATGAGACATAAGAATATCCTCCACTTAATACACTAAAATGAAATAAATCTGAGAACAAGTTTTACTGTTAACTCTCATAATACAACTCTTTGAGGACAGAGGTCCTGCATGGGAAGTTAGTGCACAGTGACTCCTGTTGTTAATTTAACAATTAACACTCTTTTGTATGATATCAATGATCACCCAAGGCTCTTGACATGAGTTGCCTAGGCTTTGGAAGCCTGAGTCCACAAACTTCATCAGTATTTAGACAAGGCCATAAGCAAAGTAGAAGTTCTCTCCTCTCTTCAGAGAAAAGTACATCTTTCTTTGATGACCACTTTTTTCCATTGGGGTGTCACCCACAGAGGTCCTTCATGTAAGACATTTTTTTTTGCCACAGTTTCTTGGCTTTCCATGCCTGAAATGCTCTCGTGAGCTTTGTAAACATATCTTTTAATTCTATTTTTCCCAAACCTTTTGATGTACCCTTGTGTTTTCTACCATTTCTTTCCTTACATTTCTGGGAGATGAATAGGAATTCCTAGGTTAAATCTCCTTAAGTTCAGCTTAGGAGACATTTTCCTTGAGGTTAATAAGAGATACCTGTTGTAAGAAAATGAAGAGTGTGTGTTGTGGGACAGAAGGAAAGTGAAAGGGGGCAGGAATAAACCAGCTCCTCATACTTTACAGAGAGAAGCTAGCACAGCAAAACAGGATCTTAAGTTGAAAGAAAAATCAGTGACAACTACAGGGTCTCCACTGAGAGGGTGAGGGAGTGAGATGTTATCTAATGAGACCTAAGGGACTCAAGGTTAGTATCCTTTTATATAGAATGAAATGTAACATATACCCAAGATATGCATTTTAGGGAAAGAGTGAAAGGGTTGTGTGATGACTCTTTGGGTTACCAGATGCCATAAAACTGGGCTTTGGAAATGACTGCATTATTTCCAGTTTGGTTCTGAATGATGGATCCCAGTCCCATTAGACTTAGCTCTTAGTTCCAAGTAGCTCAGATTTTCAGAGGAGACTGTGAACCTATAATCCATCAGAAGAAAATTCAAATGCACTGCTGGATCCTCATCTAAAAAGTCTGTGACATGGGTTTCATATTATTGTCAACTGGGAATTTCAAATCTACTCCAATAACGGCTATGTGTTTATTTTCTTTTGATAAAGGCTACATTCAATTCAAGGCTTTGTTTTTCTTTTTTTTTATTTTTAGAACAAGAACTATGTTCAAATAATATCTTTGTAAATAGAAGGTACAATCACGTGCTCATTGTTTCTCTTGAGGTAGTTCCATAAAAATAATATGACATGGGCATGACCCTTATTGCAAAATCCCAGTCCTCATGAGAATGAAACTGATACTCTGCGATGTCTATTTCAGAGATGTGTTCCTTTTTAGCAGGGTATATTATCTACTCTTAGGAGCTAAAAGTCCTATGCTTTCCCTAATGTCCCCTGCCTCTACCATCAGGTCAGAATTGCCATTTCTCCACCTACTAGCCTGAAGGGATTGCCTCAGCAAAGATACACATTTGCAATAGCTTATCAGCATTTCAAAACAAAAGGAGATATTGCACTATGACATCCAAAACATTTTTGTACCCCAAAATTGGTACAAATTGGAACTTCATGGACTCAGAAAGAACTCCAGTCTCCTTTGTTTCATAGGTAAGGAATTGGAATTGTCACCCAAAATGACACTGAGCATTACTTATATAAAGCTGAGTTTCTAACTCCTGTTCATATAGCAACAGCATAGAGTTATGGAAAAACAGCACTTCTCAAAGTTTCAAGTTCATACAGATCACTTGTGGATTTTGTTAAAATGCAAATTCTGATTCTGCAGGTCTGGAGTGGGGCTTAAGATTCTGCTTTTCAAGCAAACTCCCAAATGATGCCCATGCTTCTGGTCCCTGGATGACACTTTGCATAGCAAGGGTGTCAAGAGCATGGAAGTCAGTTCAAACTCTAATTCTGCTGCTGGGAGATTTTTCCCAAGCACCCTTTCTGGGTCTCAACTTCCCTATTTTTAAAATGTGGATGATTGACTCTACTATGCAGTGTTACAGTTGAATTATAACATTTATGCATTTAAATTATACTTCCAGACACATGAGTAGAGATTGATCTCCTAATCTAATGCACATTCTACCAGCTACTCCCACCACAACTCCAACTTGAGCTATGTCAGGGCAACCAAACCAGTCTGACTGGCTTTCTTCCTCTCCCTGCCCCCACAAAGATTAGATGTATCAAAGCAAATCCTACAGGGGCTATTCTTTGAAAGTTAGATAAATATAAAACCTGTGTGCACCTTGTTTAACCACAGCTTTCACTGTGTGAAAGAGCTTCCCACAAAGCCATTCATTTGTGACAGAAAATTTGATAATGTTATAGAGATAGGAATCTTTCAAATATTTAGAATGAAGATGTTGGAGTGAGTGATTGCCACCCAGAGATTCTTCAAACTCCTTTCTACATTGCTGCCAAATGCACTTGCTGTCTCCATTCAGCATAGCCCTTCTCCAAGAAATGAATTCTCTTACCTTGAAAAAGTATAGGAGGTAGGAATCTTCCAGCTCTGGAGATCATTCTCCTTTTTTCATCACTCTCTCCCCCCAGCATTATCTTTTATAAAGATCATTATTGAGTCACCTGGATGTACTCAGGATGTAACTAGGTGCTGTATGGTATTCAAGAAGAGAATACAAGTTCTCTGCCTCAAGGAGCTTATTTTATTGCTGGAGATTGGCTTGTATGCTTTCAAGGCAACATACAATTACACACTAGCATTTTTGATTGTAGCCACAAATGCTGAGGGGGATGGAAAATAAGTAAGATCATAATGGGTTGGGGTTACTTAAGACTGCGATTTCTGGGCCTGGTGCTGTGGCGTAGCAGGTGAAGCCGCCGCCTGCAATGCTGGCATCCCATATGGGTGCTGGTTCGAGTCCCTGCCGCTCCACTTCCAATCCAGCTCTCTGCTATGGCCTGGGAAAGCAGTAGAAGATGGCCCAAGTCCTTAGGCCCCTGCACCCGTATGGGAGACCTGGAAGAAGCTCCTGGCTCCTGGCTCCTGGCTCCTGGCTTCGGATCAGCACAGCTCCGGCCGTTGCAGCCAATTGGAGAGTGAACCAGTGGATGGAAGACCTCTCACTCTCTCTCTCCCTCTCCTTCTCTCTCTGTGTAATTCTTTCAATAAATATCAATAATCAATAAATATCAATCAATAAATAAATAAATCTTAAAAAAAAGACTCGGATTTCTGAGCCAGGTGAATTTTGAATTCCCACCCATCACCTTTCTTTCTTTCTTTCTTTCTTTCTTTTTACAATGGTTTTCTTTTTTTTTATATTTATATTTTATTTTATTTAATGAACATAAATTTCCACCCACCCATCACCTTTCAAAAGAGCTCTCTACTATTCCAAGAAACTTACTTACCCTGGAGAAAGCCATTTAGGCTAATCACATAATGCTGCCAAGTGTCAGGTTCAGAAACGTTGAAGTTGAAGTTAAGGCTATGGGCGAAGGGTCTGATCATAACTCCTGGCAACAAAAACAGGTCTTGGATATATTAACCCATTCTTGGGATAATTTTTTTGTATTGATTTCCTATGAAACCATTTCCCCCCAGGCAATCAAAATGAAAAGGACCATAATTTGCCAAGTACCATTTTATTTATACTCTTAATAATTGAATCTCTAAGTCATTATCAGGAAGAGCCAAAGTTAATTGAGGTTGAACATGCTGTGCAAGCAGATTACTGTCCAACAAGTTATGACAACACAGGGCATTTGAGTATACTCACCAGGAGGCTTCACCCGCTCAGTGAAGGTTGGCATGTATGGACTGATGGCCAGAAATAGTGAGTACATGAAGAGGGTGATCACAGCAGCCAGGGAGGCATAGAAGAAGAAGTAAATGACCAAGATCAGGCCTGCAGATCAATCAAAGGTGACAGCCGTCAGTGCTTGCCAAAAAGCCCTGCCTCCCGCTTGAACTCATGAACCGGAATAAAGCCAAACACAAAATGGCTTTTAAAAAATTCCCCAGATTCAGTATGTCCTTGCTTATTCAAATTTCACCAACCGGATTTCACCAATTTGGAATCCATGTGGATTGTCAGGGGTCTGATTGCAGTTTACCTTTACAGCATCTCCAGTGGAAGGGCTTGCTGTGCAAATGATGACCATGAACAAGATTGTAGGGGAGTGGAGTTTAAAGTCCTGCAGAAGGCAAATTGCTTGACAGTCCTCTGGGCAACGGTTGATATCCTAAGTACAAATCATTCTTCACTGTTCATTAAAGCAGGTGCCCTGAAGAGTCCTAGCAGCTTGGTTCCAGTGATTATATGTATTTGCAAGGGAAGAAAATAGCATTTCTTTTCACATAGTCTATAATTCAAACTTTTGATTAATTTCCATTGGACTTGCCTCTAATCAAGGCAAAGTGAGGTTTTACCCTATTTATTTCAAATCTTATTCATGTTTTGGAAAGTTTAAGTGGCTCTGCTTTTCAAAAAGAACACTAATGCAGAATGGGGAAGGGAGAAGGAAGAAATGGTACTTAATCGCTGACAATTTGTGCTGACTATGAATTTGAGCAAGTTATAGACCCTCTCTGCACCACTAATTCTTCACAGGCAAAATGGGGATAAGTTTAGCACTGCCTCAGATCCTTATCTATATCCCTAACAACATCTGAAATGCAACCTTTCCTTAAACCCTACTCTCACTATCTCACTTTCTAGCTGTTTAATCTTGGACATGCTGTATCAATTTCCTCATCTGTAAAATAAGAACAACAATAGTACTTACTTCTTGGCATTGAACAATTCATATAAACAGCATAGCACAAAGGTGACAGATACAAGTGCTCTCTGTAAGTGGCAGTCATTCTCATCACTGCTATTGTTATTATTACTACAATAATAATAGCATAGTTACATGAATTCCCCCAGTGCGAGCTGTATTAGGACTAAGTTTGCTCCAGGATTAGGCAGCACCAAGTAAGGTGAATGAATGTTACTGCTGCTAAGCAGCCATTTTCAAGGCCTCCTTGGGGCTCCCTCAAGCAGTAATGTTTAGCCATGCTCATAGCAGTGCCTTGATGTCAGAATGACAGATTTGAACCAAATCATGAACCAGAAACTGGAGCAAACTAGATAATTTTGCTATACCCCAAACTGAATCTAAATATTAATTTTTAAGTTAAACCATGAACCAAAAAAAAAAATACCAAAGAAAAAGAGTGGGAGTGGGTAAAAACCATAATCCAAGAAATGGCACTGACCCCTTAGGTTTTATAAAAGAAATTAAAGCAGAACTGGACCATGAACACATTTACTAAGTTGGAGTCCCTGGAGAAGAAACAACAGTGCTCATATGCCTGTGTTACTTGCCTATTGCCTGCTGGCTGTCCCAATGGAATGTGTCCTGTGTTTCCTCCTCCATTCCTGCATTCGCATTCCCATTCTGGGAATGGATCAACAGCTAGGGCTGTCCTGGAGGAATAAATGACTCAGTTTCATGGATGAAGGGAAAGCGATGGAACACAGGTACATTCCCTTGAAGGTATCTTCCTTCTATCCCAGCACATGTGGCAAGAGAGCTATAGATGAGAGAATGCACTAGCAAAGTCCCCTCAGCCTTGCTCGGGGGTGGGGTGGAGTACCCTGGAGTCTATGATAGACTATCTCAGCCACCCCCAAGGCAAAACCAAGCGCAGTCCCCATATGAGCCAACTGAGCTCTCCAACCCTTTCTGATCTGGATGTCCAAGTTTTACTTGGACTACTTTTCTAGATAATCTAGGGTTCTCTCCTAAATGCTCCACCCAGGCTTAGATAGACCACGAACTACTAATGCTCCCAAGTCTTCAGTCCTTCCTCCAAACACACCACTGGGTCTTGAATCCCTACCCATCAATGTCTTGTTCATTGTTTGAGTTCATGAAGATGGTGCAGAGTTCTGGCAAGATTATGGACTCTGGTGTTCATCTAACCTGGGTTTGAATCCCAACACTGCCACCAAGTAACTATGTGACTTTAGAAAAGTTACCTTCTCTAAGCTGAATCTAAAACTGCATCAGTTTCTGAATCTATAAAATAGAGATAATAATATTACTACCTTATATGGTTCTTGAAAATATCCAATAAAATAATATATAGTTCCTAATGATAGGGGTTGTCCAGCTACCAAAGAAAAAGCCCAGAGTGTATTAATAGTCTGGGTGAATATATCGAGGATGTCAATGTGCAGACTGAGACAGAATTAGGAAATGCTCAAATGGGCATCTTTCTTTCAGCAAAGAGGACAGCAAAGCATGTGCTTTATGACCTAGGCATTAACATTGCAATCTTTCCTTTGCCCAGTGGTATCCAAAAAGAAGAGGCCTGAATTTCTAGGGTCTCCTTAGACCTATAATCCAGAGGTCTGCCTATGGCCTATTGTGAAATGTCCCAACTGCCACATTTTCTGTGGGCACTTCACCCTTCCTCCCTCATCCCTACTCATAGGCCTATGGATTACCCTCTACAGGAGCAAATTGGATCAGCTCATCTGTTGAATTTCCTCAGATTGGCAGTTTAAGAGTTAATGTATAGCTCCTCCTCTTGTGATCACACTTTGCATTTCACAAGCTTATTTTTCTGGTCCTCTTAGGCAAGGGAGGAACAGCTGCACCCCTTTGGGGCCCCAATGAGTGTCCAGCATTTGTCTGCAGCTTCCAGCATGTTGGAATGTCCCACAAATGGTCCATTTGTTCCAGTTGAAAGTTCGAGGGATGGGCATGGGTGGGGCTGGGAAGTGAGGAGGGTGATGGGAGATGGGTGTTGTTCAGAGGCCCACACCTGCTATTCCTAATTCTAGGAAGCAGGGCTGGCTGTTTCACCCTGACTGAGCTGAATTAGCAACAGTAACTATGAAGGAGAGAATTCTCAGCCAAAGGGTGCTTTGGAAGGCATGTCCACCAGTTTTGGCAAACTAGACACCTGGCACTAGAGGATTCTTATTTCATCCATGGTGCTTTCTCTCTCTCTCTCTCTCTCTCTCTCTCTCTCTCTCTCTCTCTCCCTCTTTCCCTCCCTCCCTCCCTCTCTCTCTCTTTCTCTATGCTGAGAATCAATTGAGTTCCAATCCAGCAGCTGCTCTTTGGGCTGTGCAGAGTGTGGTAAGTGTAAATTTTACCACAGGAGAAATCTTCTGAGGAGAAGGCCTAGCAGCAACAGTTTTGAGGTGTGTAGGGAGTGCTAGGGGGAGTTGTCAAGCACAACTTGTGGCAGTATGTAGTACCAAAAGGAAATGCTAAGGCATATAATTCTGCCATTGAACAAGCAACATGGAGGCTTGGTTACTAGTTAATCTCTAGTAACAATTCACTTAAACCCAGTTCTACCATAGGAGACTAAAGCACCCACAAGCTGAGGCCAAGGGAAGACTTTCTGGCTGTCCTTATTTGACATTATTAGGTGAAGTTAAGAAGCTTTATAAACTCTTAGTCAAGTTATTAGTAACTTTGGTATCATATATCAGAAAAGGTCTTCTGCATAATTTCAACTTCATAGTTTTAACATCTTTTGGGGCATCATGTTGATCATATCAGAGAGGCAAAGCAGTGATCCAATCCTCTCATTCATTTACTGGGTGAGGAAACAGGCTCTAGGAGGGTAAATGACAAGCCCAAGGTCACATGGATAGAAAATGACAGGCCTGGGACTTAAGAAAAAACATGTACTTTTCCAACACATTCTTGTTATCTTCGCATTGCAACTGATATCAAGCCCAGTGGATTTTCATTACACAATCAAGTTTATTCATCAATTTAGAGTTTGTTTTGACTGGATCTGTCCACAGTCTAGGCATTTTCCTAGGCATCAGTGTCTTTACATGAAATGCTAAGAAGTGTTTGCTGACGAGCCCATCCAGCGTATGGTAAAGGATCCCTGGATACCACAGCAAAAGCAAAGGACACCAGACTGGGGCATTGGGACGATCGGGACTTACTCCAACTCTGACCTGTTCGGGCCAGAGACATCCTTCTCTCTGGATCCCACAGGTATTCGTTTATGACCTGCAACTTGTGCCACCAGGCATTGCCTGTTGGCTGACCCTGACCCTCTTCCTCCTCCTTTTCCTCCTCTTCTTCCTCTTCTTTCTCCTCCTCCGAATTGGATGCCATCATCATTTGAGCCTCTTCTTCTGCCTCTTCCTCTTCATCTGCTAAATAATTCTGGTTCACTTCATCCTGATCATCCTGAAACAGTGACAAAACATAACCCCTCTTTTTGAAAAAAATCCAATGGCATATCCCACCAGCCAAAAATAGATGGAAACAACTCAAAATTTGGAGATACTTCAAAATTTCACTTCCCCATAAACATGTCTGTTGTTGTAAAAGGCAGATTTTTGTTCTGTCTGTTTTTTGGAGGAAATAACCTTTCTGTGACCAATTTTGGCTTAATATTATTTCCATGAAAGTGCAAGTTTTTCTCTCAACTTTAGGCATTTAGATTCTTCCGCTGAGACCACTCATGCTAGTAGTCCTGCTTAACTTTCAATTGGCAATAATTGTGCCTTAGATAAACCTCACTGGCTATGATACTGCCACTGCGCTGTCAGGGCAAAGCTGAGTTTACATTGGAGGATGGAGTAGTCTTAGACATTTGTGTCCATGATGACAAATTCCCAGTCCAAGCCAGCTTCATTCTAACACTCTGCACACTTTCAGCTGCTTAACCTTACCATCCCAAATTGTGTCTAAAAATAGTCTGGTAAAGCCTTCAAGAGGAGAGGGCAACTGCTGCACCCCTCCTCAAAACTTAGACTGCCTTTGCAAAAGAAACAAGAAATGGGGAGCTGTTTGCTACTTTTCTGTTGCCCTAGCTAGAATCTCTTCCTATTTTAAGCTGTGATTAGCCTAACTAAGGAGCTGGGACTCTAGCTCCTCTTGTACCCTAGGCAAAAGGCTTTACCTATAGTAAGTGCACAGCACATATTTGTTTATTGACTGATTGCAGTCATTACTTGAAATTTGAAATTATAATATCCTATGAGTGGTTCTAAGAAAATTAACCACTACCAGTACTGCCACCCTCTAAAGGGAAAAACACAGACTTTACTAAATGGCATTTCAAATGCCTCCCAGCCATAGGCTGAGGAGTTGTATCTTTGCTCTTTGGGGGTTTGCTAAGGCTTACTGCAGCAGGAGAAAAAGAGGCCACTCTCCTTTCTCTTTGCTGTCCAAGTCTGAAGAGTGGCAGGGCCTATGCACCTGTTGGGGTCAGATGCATCAAATACTAGAGGCCAGGGGCTCCATGTACTCCTCCCTGCCTGATTCCTCAAAGGCCACTTAGAGGGCACTCAGCTAAACATTCTGCCCTTGGGGTGGTGAGATTCAGCAAGTTGAATTGTTCAGTATCAGTAAAAGTGAAACAGAATGACAAGGCTCCACTCCCACCCAACACTATCTAGCTCTTGGACATAAGCACTCTTGAATTGCTCTACAATGTGTTCAGATTTACATCTCTATATCACACCATAACAAAACTAACAGGGACTGTCAAAATTTTCATGTTAATCTGAGGCCTAGAGAGGTGACAGGATTTAGTCAGAGCTGTGAAGCAAGTTTGTGACAAAATTGACAATCTCAGAACCTATGTTTCTTGATACTCTGTATAATGGTGTTTCTCTTACATTACACTGAGTGAAGGTGCCTAGAGGTTGCACTATTTATGAAGCAGAACAATGTGTTGGGTTCTGTGTTCCCAAGAGATGTGGGTGTCTATAATGAAGGATTTCTGACTTTGACATGAACCCCCCAGTGTAAGGCTTAGGAAAATAAAATGTGTCTGTCACTCAATGTCGAATACATTAATACATGTTCTTAAATCTCTTTCACTTATGTGTGAACCTGTGTATACACTGGACCTCTCAAACTACATTTTGAACACCCAGGCAAGGGTCCATATTTTCTAACCCCTTACTAGCCAATTGGAAATTTCAGAGAATTTTAAGTGTAACATTTCATTGTGGGGGAATTTATATTTCCTTTATATTTTCTGAACAACTTCATTTTCTCTCATTACCTATATCTGCCTTCCACCTCTCCTCTGTGGAGGAGGCAGTTGGCCTTTGCCTTGGCCTGATTTTATTTGTAGATATGAGCTCTCTTGACAATCCCATTAAAATTTGCTTGTCATTTAAGCCTTATCTTCCTGGGAAGAATTAATCTCAGAATTAATTCCATCCAAAGCCCCCCTCTCAACACACACACACATACACACACACACATGCATGCATTCACACACACATTTCACACTGAGTCTTATTTCAGAAACATTAAATATCTTTTTTTGTTCTCCCTTGCTTTCAGGTATAGTGGAACATTACTTTATGTAAGAGAGGCTTTCCCAAAAAATTTCTCATTAATTAAGTCCCGTGTAAAATACACTTTCATGCAACTACTTAGCAAAATTCAGCAGGGGATCCTTTGGTTATGAGAATGCTTATCCTTAAGGGTCTGTTTTTACATTCCTTATGTGGCACTATCCTCATGTGATAGTGTGCTTGAGGGTGCAGAGACATGGTAGTGTGTGTGTTCTTGGGCCATCATGTTTCCCTAAAAGGGAAGAGTCTGGAGGACAGAGGGTGGCTCCATTTTGAGCAGTCTAAATATATAAACAAATATATAAACAAACAGCATGACCCAAAGGATAAATTTGTGCCGTACATTGAATAACATTCTATAAATATAGGAATGATTGGTTAATTTTAAGAGAAATTAGCACACAATCACATCAAATAATTTCTTTTTTAATTTGATGAAATATAAAGGAAAAGATCCCTTAATACAATCAAAGTTCAAATCATTTGACAAATAATTGAAATAACACACAACACTTTAGCAACATTACATAGAAAAGAAGCCAAGTAAGGAATAGTTACATATGTCCCACAGATTGTGACTTCTCTGAGAGCTGGAAGGGACTTTAGCAACATGAAAAGAAAGATTCTACAAACTGCAGCTAGAAAGCTAAGGATAAACCTCTGTAGGTTGATAAGGGGTTAGATGAATTCCTGTTTTCTATTGCTAGCTGTTGACATTCTTTGCTCTCTGGTTAGTGGTTATACCCAAGACAAACGGATTAGGTTTTGTTTCCTCCTAGGGCTCAGATTAAATTCTCTATGGGGAAGATTTCAAAGAACCCCCTGCCCAAAGTACAATGTGTGACATATTTTAATGATTTATAACAAAGTAAGTAAATGCAAAGAAACTTTCGGGTCAAATAAATTTCTAATGTACCCTAGAGATAACACATGAAACCAAAGGGATGTGTGTGTGTATGTATGTGTGTGTGTGTGTGTGTGTGTGTGTGTTAGGTGAGAGTGGGATGGCAGGCAAAGTGGCAATGAGTGGTGACAGATCAGGAACATAGTGAGTCACATACAGCAAATACAATGGAAAGAGCCTAAGACTGGAATTGAGGAGACTTGCATTTTCACTTTGGCTCCTCCAGTGACTTGCAAGTCATTCTGGCGCTCTGAGCCTCCTTTACATAATGAAGGATTCTGGAGAGAGAATGCCTAGGATTCCTCCCCATTTTGGATTCTATGACTTTAGCTATAGGTTGAAATTTCTGCTTTAGAAAAAGAGCAGCTGGTTTCTAAGAAGCTACCACCCAAAGCGACTGATACAGCTGGGTAGGCAGTACCTTTCATTTCCACCTCCCCTTCCCTTTTCCTTGGCTGAATCTTTTGTTATCAGAATGAAACTTCTATTCCCAGAATCCAAAATATCTGTTCAAATTAGAGATTCCCAAGAAGAAATTTTAAAGCCCTTTATTCTCTGGTGTCTTCCCCTTCCCATATCTTTGTTCCACAGGAAGAGGGGCTCCCTCCTTCCATCCAGCAGTTTAGGGTGTTCTGTGGTGCTGGGAATCACTGCTCCTTCTTGAAATGCTGAATTTCCCTAAACTTCACTGTTTCTGCCCATCCCAGAGAGAGAGACAGCCATAAGCCAAGATCTATGCAGCCCCCAACCCGCCCCGTTAGAAAAAGGAGGGGGCAGCAAATAGTCTGCTCCCTGAGACTCACAAGTCTGTAGCGTGAACCATAGGGAAAGGCTGGAGCCCTTCTGGATCGGAGTTGCCTTCTCATGGCTACTCAGTGGGCGAAGACGCAGCAGAGGCAAGCAAACGGGTGGGAGTTCTGGAGCTTCTGTTAGTACAGGAGATACTGGTTGCTGGGGACACTTGGCGCCTGGTAAAAGTGAACCCTCCTGGCATAAGCCCTTCCCCAAAATAATCTAACATGCCCCTTTCTCATTGGTTGGCCCCTTCCCTGAAACAAGGGAAAGCCCTTATGGAAAAGCAAGCTCATCATTACAGGGAGGGGGAGATATTCTGGGTCACGAGGATGAGCAACTCACCCCCCCACCATGTGTCTTTCCACCCCTTGCCCTTCTCCAGAGCCTGAGATATGATGGACCCAATGGAAATCTTAAGTCATGTTCTTCTCAATTGAGAGTTGGATATCAGTGTGTACAGGGGGTGGGGCGTGGGTGGGAGTTGGGGGTGAGGGGAGGTGGCCAAGAATAACTTGCTTTTTTCATAAGGCTGATCTCATGCATAAGGATCTAGGGTGTCAGGAAAATTCCCGCTGCTCTCCCCCACCCCCACACAAACACTTTAAGCCACCTACAATATTCCTTATTTGTGTCAATCCATGAGCTCCTTAAAGTGAGTTGAGGGGCCAGGCTCCTGCTTTACCACTCCCTGTCCCAAAGAGGATCTTGGACATAAAGAAGCCTTTTTCTAGCCCACATGTCAGAGTAGCCTCATCAGTCACTGCCCCTCATACACACACCCCTTGGAATCCTGGCCAAATTTCTGTAGTGGTTGGGATCTATATTTATCCCTTAACATCAGAGTAGGGAACAAGCCAGAACTTTGCAGTGTCAGTTTCCCAGACATATATAAGAGTCCTGAAGCCAATGTAGGATTCAACAAAAGAAAAATTAGTTGCAATGGTCATGAACATCATATAGCATTTTTAGTCAGTTTGGTCCACCTCACTGGAACCTGAGTGGCTAAAAGTCCTGTATGGAGTTTTTGATCATTCCTTTGCAAATCAACCTCCATTCTACCCATGTGTCTGGGAATATTGCTGATGCTAAGATTGTGAGCATGTTCATAAACAAGAAAGACTGCACAATAGCTTAGACAGGTAGCTTTAGTCATAACTCCAAGTCTAGGCTATTCTGATGAAAACGGCTTCAATTATGGTTAATTTTAAATAAGGGCTCCATTTACTAGAAGGTTTCTAATCAGGGCTCTTCTTTAACAGAATCTCTCCACAGCCTTCTTTGAAGAGAAAAAAGGCTACTTAAAAAAAGACAAACTCATTCCCTTTTTTGTATTTTAATAAAAGCAAAATATATCCAAGGGGATCACCTGGTCTCAGCAGATTTTGAGTTCTATTGCTTACACTTTCTCCACTTTTGCAAGATTCTTGATGTTAAATGTGAGAATCCTGATGCCCTTGGAAGCCTCAAATCCAAATGATAGGTTAAATGGTCTTCTCTTACCAGGTCAAAAAGAGAGTCATTTTAAGAATATTTCAAAAACCGCGAATAGGGAGAATAAAAAGCAGACTGGAGTGATATAACTTCAAATAACAGAATACTTCATTCTCCAAAATCTCTTGTTCCCTAGTATTGGTAATTGGCGGTTTGTTATATACATGTTACATTTGCAATGTGTTTCAAGTATAGTCCAGTCTACCTTCTGGAATGCCAGCTGTTGGGTAAAATAAAATAATCCCTTATGATGTAAAAAACAGACATTTTTGAGAGTTCACTCTCAAAAGATTATGGTTAAAAGAGAAACCATTCCTGCCAATTTTGAAAAAAAGGCAATATGTTTATCAGTGCAGCAGAATGGAGCCAGAAGTTGCTGATGGGGCTGCCAATGAAGCAGTAGCTACAAAAGGCAAGAGAGGGTGGAGAAAGGAGAGGCTTTGAGTATGACAGCATATTCAAAGCAAATTACCCAATTGTCTAAACCTATACACTCATTCTTTGGGCACAGATGTTAGCAGCTGCTTGTGGAAACTCCTTAGCTGATCCTCAGGGAGACTCTGGAAGATCATGAGCTGTGGAGCTTAAGAGTTGTTTGCCATTGAACTCACTTAGGCATTTTTGAGCATTTTTTACAACCCCACCTGTAGACTCTGAATGTATTGAGTATTAAAATTCCAGGCCAAGCTAGTGCCTGAGACAGCCCATAAATGTGGCCCAGAATACAGTATTCTTTTCAAAGTGCGTGGAAGAGGGAGAACTCACTTGAGCATCTGGGAAGGCTTCCCGGAGTAGGCGGAGTTTGGGCTGGAGCTCAAAAGGCAGTCCTTCAAGCTAAAACAGTTGCTGCCCAACTTTGATGATGCCAGTCTGATCCTTAGTGCCCAAAGTTCCCCTTCCTAAACAGCTAGCGTCTGAGTAGTGGCCAGCAGGCATAGCTAGCAGGCTCACTGGCTAAAGCCAGCGGGTTTCCTTGACCTCAGTGTTCCAAATAATGGCCCCAGATACCTACTTCACTGGGTTCCAGGAAGAACCCTTAGCACATCACATTCCTGAGCACAGTTTCCATCTGTCAAGTACAGTTGTACAGTGAGAGATGCTTTCATTTCGAGGGACTGAAGGCTATGTGTGTGTGACTGTATATGGCCGAACCCCTAGGGGAAAAAATGAAGGCCTGGGAAATTATATGGTCCATGTGGAGATTTAAGCCTATTTCCAGGGGCTAAAAGGCACTCATGAGTATAATGCAGGCAAGAAAAGTCGGTTCAAACAAACAACTAATTGGAATTAAGAGATGAAGTGTGCAGAGGCCCCTAATGAATGGATATGCTAATTGGTCTTCTTTGCTAGCCCCTTGGGCTTTGGCTGTGACATAGACTAGCCTATTAGATGCTTGCTCTGTAATAGCTGCTGAAAGCTGGGGCCCTTTATTGCCATGGTAACACTGATGTCTAGAGTCTAGCTGAGCCCTGGATCTCTTAATTTACTACTCAGGCGGCTACAATTCTTTAGGTTTTATTATTCTTCGTGCCCTGAGTGCCAGAGTGGCAGTGAATCATGCTTATTCATCCTCTGTACCACCCACAGTGTCTTTGAATAAGTCAGGGTGTCTCTTACTGTGTGTGATGAGCAGATTATTAAGTTAGAGGCTATTTCTGCCTTAGCTAGACTGGTGCCTCTCTGAAACCTAGTGCAATTTTCTGCTTACTTACCTGCTGCCTTAGATGGCTTTTGGCAAATATGGTGATGACACTGCAGTGGACCTGCAAAGGCTCAGCCTTCCAGAAGCCTCTGCTTGCATGATGGGAAGGGAAGCACAGCATAATATAGGTGAGGCAGCATTGACTTGGAGAATGAACCTTGGAAACACATGCCATCAAAATGGAGCAGTAGATGGGGGTGAAGAGTCATTTCAGAGAGAGTCATGGCTGGGCATAGTGATATTAGAATAGGATGAGGGGTTTAGGCTTGTGTGGAAAAGGACAAACCTTGTTCTGAGTCACTCCAAAGTAAAGAAGTAGCCTCTAAGGACTAGAAGGTACACAGGGACAAACTTCAGATTATTTTATAAGGCCTTTGTTTAAGAAGCTGATCAGAGAAACCAGTTGCCTCTGAAACTTAGTAAGCAATGTGTCGCTGGAGCTGCCCAAACTTTGCTAGCTCAGTAGAGATGCTCTAAGCAGCCACTGCCATGGGGTGAGAAGTAGGATAGAGCACTCTGCTAGATGACCTCCTAGCACTTTTCCAACCTTGAAATCTGTGTGTCTATATATGGTGCTGCTGTTCATTTTATCAGGACACATGCTAAATTTATATGATACTTTATATGCACATATGATTGATTCAATAGAACATATACTAAAATTGGGATGATACTGTATATGTGTGTGTCTCTGTCTCTAGTCATAAATGAAACATTGATATAGGTGCAGAGATGTTTTCTTGACATCTCTATTGCTAATAAATGGACAACCTGAAAGTAAATTGTATAATAAAGCCCTAAATTACAAATGACTATTATGAACATGAAAGAATGTTTGAGTTGTTGGGGTTTGTGTGTTTTTGTTTCTGTTTTGCTGTAGCATTTCACTCACTGGGCATTCTCATGGGAGAATTGGTAAACTACAGAGAAAACTGTGGGTCACACAAATATGGACCACGTTGAGAAAGCATTTTCCTGTTTACTGAAAATGGTGGGTGTGGAGTTGGGGTGAGAGGGCTTCTTAATCTAACTAGATTACAAAAGTCAGAGTCCTCCCCACCCCCTTACAGGTAGGACAGAGAGCTGTAAACCTAAGTACGGTTAATCAAGTGCAGCAAGAACAGAAGGGACTATTAGGCAAGATCAATCTTTTCCACCAAACTCTGCAAAGCTATTTATTATTAAGCGGTAGCATTCCCCCACAGTGAGGACAGTGATATTAATCCAAACTGAACTCACTCTGGATTCAGCAAGCACAAGTCAGAAATCACAGTGGTGTGGTGCTCAACTACCTTTTAAATCAAAGTCAGATTCATAAGCAAGATCTAAAGGTCTTTCCATCAACATCTTTGTTCACTTACTTGCTTGCTATAAGGCCACAAGAATGTCAATAGATTTCTCTGTTGTATCATCTCCCCACCTTGAAAGAAAATAAGTATGGTGTCCCTGCTTCTTCACTCTCAGTAATGCTGTGGGTCCATGGGTCTTCAGAATAAAATGAGACAATTCTGAAGACAAATAAAATTATTATTTATTAAGGATTATATAGCATAGTGTTTAAAAGTATAGGCTCTATAATTGAAACTAGGTTTAAATCTAGTTCCAAGTCTTTTAAAATTTTTAAGTTTATTTATTTTTATTTGAGAGGCAGACAGAGGGACATACACACACACAGAGAGAGAGAGAGAGAGAGAGAGAGAGAGAGAGAATGAGACAGACAGAAGACAGAAAGTGCTCTTATCTGCTGGTTCACCCCTCAAATGCTCTCAATGACTCCTAGCTTGGAACTCAATCTAGGTATCTCATGTGGGTGGTAGGGACCCAAAATTCTTGAGTCATCAACTTCTGCCTTCCAGAATGTGCATTGGCAGGAAGCTGTAATAGAGAACAAAGCTGGGTTTCAAACACAGGCACTCCAATATGGGATGTAGGCATCGTGACATCTTAACAGCTAGGCCAAACCCTCACCTCCTAGTTCCCAACTTTAATAGCTGTGTGACCTTGGGGAAGTTACTTCCCTCTCTGAGCCTCAGTTTCTCCATCTGGGAAATCATAGTATTGGTAAAAGGATCAAATAATTTAATTTATATAAAGTGCCTGGCCTAGTTCATTCAATAATATGTGTATAAAGTTAATAGAAAATAGATCTTAGTAAACAATAAGAATGGGAATAGGAGAGGGAA